ATTTGCATGGAGAAGTGGCACAGGGAAAGATTCTGCACCGGTAGGGATGGGAACTTCATCATAGTGTTTTGACTGGACCGGGCGGCCGGGTATGCCAGCTAGTACATATGAAGACAAGATTGCAATGAGCAAGATATGAACACACAGATCTTAAAAAGTAAAAGCTTACCTTTCAGGGTGGGAAGAACTTGTATGTAAGTTTTATACAGTAGTGGCAGCGCGTCATCGTGTATGTGAACATAAGGTAAGTGAGGAATGAAATCGTTACCAATAAGAAAGCCCATTAGAACCCAATCATCAATAATTCGCTCCATATCATAAGGAAATGGCAGTGTGGCCTAAAGAGATAGCATCAATTTTGATTTTTAAAAAATGAAAATGTTGTAGACCTTGAGTGGATAGAATTCCCACGAGAGATACTCTCTTAATAAAGAAAGATGTAGTAAATGGAAGTTGATTTGCGAAGGGTTGGCCCTAAAGTAATCGAAATGACATTTGTAAAGAATGAAATGAAACTATATACCTCTTAGGATTTGAAGATGAGCTTTTAGGAGGTCGAGTAAACTTTACCTCCTCTCGTAAAAGCGAGAAATGAGGCTCGTGCGAGCATATTCCCAACATCAACTGGGAAAAAGGGCTTCAAACAGCGTGTTGCAACGGCTAAAACTTACGAGATCGGCATCGAGTCCATACATACAATGACGAGTATTAGGATCATATCCATCCAAAGTCCTTTCGTGTCTTATAAAATCCATTATTTTATGTTCACCTTCTCCAGGGCACTGAAAGGAGCACGTATCATCCTCTCTTGTTCAATTCCAAGTAGAATGAAAAGCATGAAGAGATAAAGATAGAACGAACAAACATGGCATAGAACTATGATAAAACAAAAGTGAAAGTGAGGAGATAACCGACATCATGTCCTGACAGAAATACCCGAATTCCATGCCAAGCAGGATCCTTCTCAACCTTCTTTTCCAACCATTTTGCAAGTTGCTCATGCAACTCCGCCATAAAAAGAGTACCTGAAAAAA